ACACACACGCACACACACACAAACACAAACACACACACACAGACACACACAGCAGCCTGACTGACCGTCAGCTGATCAGGACAACAGAGCTTTGTTTGCCTGTTTGCTGAAACGCAGTCAGGTGAGAACAGGTGGCAGCCTCCGTCTACTCTACACTGTTTCCATGCCAACAGATCAGGTGTCTCACCTGTGTGCGTGAGGTCTCTCAGCGAGGAGGAGGAGTTGTTGGACGACGATGAAGAGTCTGCCATGTTTCAGCTGCTCGGTCTGCAGGTCTGACCCTCCCTCTGACTCTCCAGAGCTCTGCAGCTGCTCCATCCAGGAATGACATCACCACATGGGTGGAGCTGGAAAGAGGGGAAAAGTTTAAACCCTCTGAGCTGCTCGATGTGAGCTCAGAGCGAGAATGTTCAGGAGGGTCAAAGGTCAGCCAGCTGAGATTAGTTTGAGCAGACTCAGACAAACATCCACACACACTGTTTAAGTCCAGCCAGACACAGGCGTGCTGGTAACACTCGTCATCGATCAGACAGGAAGTGAAACCAAACGCAGCTTGAAGCACTCATTAATCAGTAATCAATAATATTGACACAGCTGTATACATAAAAACACATCAACAGACAGGAAATGAGCTTAGCGATCGCAAGAGAGAGAGAGCAGGTTAGGATCCAACAAGATCTGTAGAAATTGGCATCACCATCCAAGGAAGATCCCTTGCACAGCTTTGGAGACAGTAGGAGGGTTTGAATGTCTTTGTGTTTCCCCAACGAGCATCAGTGATCAATAATCAACAATAAACAGACTATCGGCTTCATTTCTTGGTTGTTTTCTGTTGGCAGTTTTACAGCAGTGCTGTTGTTCTACAAGCATTAATGGTGATCCTGAAACAGCACACCTGCACTGTACTTGCTGACCTCAGGTCACACTTGTTGGAATTGTGTTTTTATATTTACTGTCCAACCATAAACAGCAGCGAGTCTGCAGGCGTGAGCTTAAAAACTAAAGCTGTCAGGAGGAGGTGACGCTCAGAGTGGGAGAGTTTACTCTTTACTTTTATTCACAGCAGGAACGTTTTTATGAGCCGTGCTTTAGTTCAATCACTCAGACTAGTTTGCTTGGATGGGATGACTGCAGTGATTTTCTCCATTAGGCTGAAGGACAGGAAACTTCAGTCTCAAAGATCTACTGTGCATGCCTCACCTTAGAGATCAACAGCAGCAGTGATTTAAAACAGTTCTGTGTCACAAATCACCAGAATGATGATCTTCATCACTAAAAGTGCAAACGAAGCTGAGCAGAGCGCGTCCAGGCCGGGGGTCGCTCGGTGAACCTGCACCATGTCCCTCCACCAAGATGGTTCACTGCTCGAAGCGCTTCAGTCCTCTTTGGTGACATCTGGTGGCCAAAAATATGAACAGCAGCTTGAAATGAGCCGCCTCACTGTGATCACCCTCTCTGCATTAGCAGCTTGTGTTTAATATCAGGCTATCGGTGTGGTGCATCTGTTTTATGGTTATTTGGTTAAAAACTCATTTGTATGAAACGTTTGAACGTGGGCGTGTCCAAAAGAAGCCCGTGTCGGGCTCCAGAATATCATGTGACCAAAGATGAACTCTCTGAAATGACGTCAATGCTTCATTATGTGATTCGAGCTGTTGAAAAGACGCATCACCATCATTGGTTGGGACTATGCTTGTGCCGTGAGGTCATTCCAAGCCATCTTTTTGTTTGCTTTATGTGGAATATCCTTTTGACGTGATGGCTTTTCTTTCTCCATATCAATCAAATCAAAGTTGATGTAACTCTGTAGAGATCTCTTTGGGCATTTCTGGTCATAAAGCAACATTGTCCAGTCTTCGGCAGTAACACAGGAGTTACAGGAGCAAAAAGTGGAGAAGTTTACATCCTTTTTGATTGTTTTCAATAATCACTCCCAAATATGTAGTTTTGTTTTAACAGGTATACCATTAACCCTGACAGATTTAAATGTTTGAGAGGTAATAAGACAGACTCATTTTCAGCCCTGACACAGGTAGCTGTCTGCTCACATCGTGTGTATTCGATAGGAAAATTGCAGTGTCATCAGCCAGGTGTGCCCATCTCTATCTAAGGGTGGGATACCCTGAAACTGTCCTTTTTTAATATGCACTTTGTGCATAAATTGGATGCAGTTGTTCGCACTAAACCCAAACATTCACCATCTTCACTCATGTGGCCATCCCACTGGCGCCAGCTGAAGGCTGCCGAGGTCGAAGCTGACTGCAACAACAAATTCTTCCATGATAACAGGATCGTTGTCAGAACTCTTCGTCCCTCCTTCAAGGCCACCAGACCTTCACTTAACCGGGCGTGGTGATACTTTCTCTCAGCTGAACACGGGATAAACATACACACACAAATGCACACGCATGAAACATGTACACTGATACGCCCTCACTATCACCCTCCCTCCCCCGAATCCAACACCTCCTCCCAGGTTTACCTCCCATCTGATGTGGACAGCGGATCAGCTGGAGGCGCGATCGCAGATTGCAGCGGTTCCAGATCAGCTGTCCACGCTGGAACACTCTCCCATGTTGCTGTCTGTGTTTTGTTGTGTTATGGTGTGATGATATCTGTGCATTCCTGGATTATCCTTCTGTGTTACATATTTCGATGTTTTTTCCCCTTGCTACCTAGCCTGACCTGTCTCCCCAATGTGATGTTTGCGTATTGTATGTACGGTCTGTCATCTCGGTTGTGGGCAACTGCAACTGACAAATAAAGGCCATCTCATCTCAACTAGCTAACATTACAGCCAACAGCTAAAACATTAGCACTAAAGACCTACACAGAATATATCCCCATAGACGTACAAATAACATAATTTCAGTTTGATGAGTTTAACTGCAAAGCAGATGATGCTATTAGAAATTGAAATAATTTTTTTAAAACTTACTTTTCGCATACAGATTAGGTTTTTTCTTCTTAAATTGTCCGTGTTTGCCAAAATGTGCTAATTTTTCACATGTGATAGAAGAACTGAATTTGGCATGTACAGGATGAGTCACATCATTTGAAACTTAGCTGTGATGGGAGAAATTGGAAGTGTTAGAACTGACCCACGTTACGGTCTCCTCTACTACTGGAATTATTTTCTTGCCTATGGAGAAATTTATCCATTTGTATTTTCTGAATGAGCCAAATATGATTTTTGGTAAATATATTTAGAAAACTATTTTCACCTCCACATATTAAATGAATAATTCTGAGTTTTCTAATAAAACATTGTTCAAAGTTTCTTTTTTGTTAACTAAAGAAATATTTTGGGCATTTTTTCCGCTGTTCTCACCGTTTCCTCGGTGAGATTCTCGTTTAGACAAATTGTTTTTTCACATAATCTTATTATTCTAGAAATTATTTTCTCTCTCGTTTGTCTTTAGAGAAAGCATTTTCCTTTTGAAAAATTTCTGATATCAAATTTCATTTCCATGAAAACTCTTAAATAGTTTTGCTTGTTAACAAGTCTCAGGGCTTAACTTTGGATTCATTTAGTTTCCAACAGTCTTTATTCTAAATTTGTCCAAATAATTTCAAATCAGTCTAAACTGGACTGCTTTATGGTCTGTCAGGACTGTTGTTTCTGTCCTCATTGCTCCACATATAAAGATCTCCTGTCACGGATATGTTCGAGCTCAGATGATGTTTGGTTCATGGGGGTATCCATCCATGCTTTCATTCATCACCTCCATATAAAAGTTTAGCTGAAGGACATGAAGATAACATCTGCCTTATCTTCTGTGGTTAAAAATAAATATACATTTTGCATTTTATAATTAAAGCCATTTATAAAGTGTGACTGATCAATATCAACCAAAGGTGTAATCCATTGTTCGCTGATGTTGCAGTTTAAGTGTGAACATCTCCAAATCTGCTGTCACCAACAGAAACGTGCTGCCTTTCTCACTCTTCTTCTTCATTATTTATGTATTTTTTGAGTTTTTAAAGAGTCACATTTTATTTGAAATTAAATTTGTGGACTTATTTCAGGAGTTTTGGATTTTCATCAGTTAACGTATTTATTTTATTTTTGCTGTTTTATTGTGACCTCGCAGTATTACTTTTATTCTTATGTGGTTTCTCTTTAATGTTTTATGCTTTGGCCGAAGGGTCTCTATTCTGTTTCTAGTCGCTTCTACTGAATGTTTTTGCTGTGCCCGCTTCGGCCTGCAGGGGGCAGCCGCGGCTCAGATTACGCCTTAAAGCGGAACTTTTGTTTCCGTGTTGTGTTTCCTCAGGAGCGTTAACAGCTGTGAACAGCAGGCGGCAGGGCGGTGGAGGGGTGTGTGAATCAATCATTGCTCAGCTATCGATCGTGAGGTCCATGATGCAGTGCGGCTGGCCCCTCATGGGTCCGCTCAGGTGGCTTCACTACGTTAACAAAGAGGTGAAGGTGAGAGCGGGAAAAGGCGAGGAGCACCGCGGCTGGCTGTTGAGCGTGGACCCGGTGTCCGCCAGGTAACGCGCACGTGGAGCCTAATTTGTAAATCAAACAGCTGATCGTGACGAACGAGTCGAGTTTTTTTTCAGCCGTTTCCTGTGAACTTTGACCTTAACTCGTTTTTTCTGCATTCCGGGTATTTGAGTCACGTGGCTCTGACCCTTGTCTTCCTGTGCCCTGCAGTGTGGTCCTGGTGTCCTTTGGTGAGGCGGTGGCGGTGCGGGTGGTGATGGGTCACGCCGTGGAGGCGGTGGAGGTCCTGCGAGCGGCTGCCGATGATGAGACGGCGAAGCGTCTGCGGTCGGTCTTCCTCCCCCCGCCGTCCCCTTGCCTGGACCCCAAGGAGCTGCGTCAGCGGAGGGATGCCGTGCGGCGGTGGCTGCAGGAGAACCGGATCCCCGTGGAGGAGGAGGGGGAGGAGCTCAAAGTGGCGGGCGTCCTGACGATCGCTGCGCCCTATAGCGCCCACGCCTGCAGGAGCTCCAACCAGATCATCCTGGACCGGATCCAGAGACTTATCGGGATCCAGGACTGTACCAATCAGGGGTTGCCACTCTGAGCTGGGCCAATCACCAGGTTAGTGTGTTGTTTGAGCTCCGCCCTTTTGTCCTTTGCAGATGTAATCTAAATAAAAAGAGTTTCTAAGTGACTCACTTCCTGTAAAACTCACCTGTCCCACAGACTGACGAGTCACCGAACGCCATGATTAGTTACGTCAGAGTGGGAGGAGTTTTAAACATGTGCATAACTTTAAAAGATAAACTGGTTTTATTGTGACAGGCACAATTTCATTTCAGGTGAGAAGAGACCTGCAGCAACCACGATGAACCAGGAAACCAGAGTGCTGGCTCACCTGGGGTCACCCGGGGTCAGGGTGTGCACGGGCGGATTTCAGTTTCTTTCTGTCAGACTCCAGTAATCGATAATTATTGGTCTGCTGTAATCATTGACACCTGGATGTCGCTGATGTGATTGAACATCACCTGACTCACCTGCGTCAGTATCAGGTGTCTCCGGTCTGTCCTCTGAGTTCTGCTCTTTATTTGCCCGTTGCCATGGTGACACCTGCGCCTGTGGGAATGACTTGCTGCAGACTGATTCCCGGAGTGTTTTTGGAAAAGTTTTGTATCGTTTCATACTTTGTAAAAAAACATTCAGACTGGGGTCGAACTTTAACCCCGAGCGTTGATCTTTGTCAGTTTCAGTAAACATGGGGATGAAACGTCTACTGAATCATCTAATCACTGTAAATAAACTGTAAGGTAATTATTGTATCTATGGTAACAAGACACCCATCCCTCCACGCATTTATTTCAATATGCTCTGCTTGGTTCTGTTTGTTGAATGCAGAGAAACACTTGTATCCTGGGGCTTTGTGTGTGTTCACAATGTCAATAAAGTTCATTGAAACAGCCCAGCGCCACCTTATCTACTCTGATGAATCCTGCTCCCGGCCCAAACTACTCTGCATTTATTTAGGCTGTTGTGTTTTTAACATGTTTTAGTGCTTTGTATATAGTTCAATTTAATCTGAACAAACTCCTAAAAACAGTCAGTGATCACTGTCGTCCTCTCTCGGTTTTTATTACCACTGTTCATTTTAAAGCTCAGTTTTTAAACCCTATCTACAGCCCAGCCCATGCAGCAGTATATAAGACTAACCTTGTATTGTGGATGGATTCTCAGTTGTTCTCCTGACTGAAGTTTGGTCCGTTTACAGCATCCTGCCATGCGATTGCATTTGTCTCTAACCATCAGGAACCTTCACGTTAATTTTTATCAAGCAGAAAAGTGTTAGCGTTCATCCTCCAGCTTCACTGTGTTTATGCTAACATAGCTGTGTAGCTAGCGATCACGTAGCACAACATTATATACCAGCTAGCCCAACTTCAGTAACCCTACAAACGTCAGTGCTGTTTAGTTTTGTTTTCATTTATGTTGGAAGTGACAGCAGAGCTGTACGTTTGAATTTGTTTCAGAAATCTCTCAGTCAGAACATGCTATATCATGTTTAGATGGAAACTAGTGAGCTAACTTCCTGCTAACTTCTAACTCTGTTAAATGTAATAACTTCTGTTTTCATGGATGCCTGGATGGTAAACTTAATAGTTACACCTGGTAAAGCAGCAACACTGATCGTTTTATTAAAGATGAAAGAATTTAGACAGTTTTTAACTCTCAGTGATGCTGCAGTGTTCGTTTGACTTTGGACCTGACGCAGAGTTTGAACCCAGACACGACTAATGATGTCAGACTGAAAGACCACCCGCTGCTGCAGGGGCAGTAGATGTGGAGGAGCCCACCTACAAAAACCTCGACCTCCTGTCACCACAAACAGCCACAGTTCAGTTCAGCAGGTAAAATAAAGACCGATGAATTCCAGGTTTCTTCGAGCTCAGTGAAAGAAATGTTTATTCCCTTGTTTTTGTTTACATCATTAATAATGACATCACCACCATCACCATCTTCTTCATCAGGTCCACCTGAACCACTGCAGTACCTGTGTGGCTCCAGGCCAGTACCTGAGGGTCTCGTCCCTCTGAGGTCTGAGCTCAGAGATGTTCAGAATAAGAGCACATTTTTGTTTTACAGTCAGTCTCAGTTCGAAGCAGTCAGAGCTTCCTGATTGGTCCATCACACATTTTTACTTTCTTCTGATCCAATCAGCTGTAGTGTTAACTCAGTCTCCTCCACAGCCTGTCCAATCAGCTGTCCCTGAACCCTCTGGAACTCCAGGCTGTCCAATCGCACAGAGGGCGTGTCCAGCATGGGGGCGTGTCCAACAGAATCCCTCTTGTATGTCTTCGGGGGGAGTTTGGGAACACTGTGACGTGGAGGCACAGGGGGGCCATCCAAGGTGAGGGGAGGGAGTGGGGGGAGAGGTGGCGAAGGCAGGGGTAATTTCCTGGAGGTGGGGGTGACAGGAGCAGGGAGAGGGGGTGAGGAGGACAATGTGGTGGGGGTGGAGCAAATGGAGGTTGGGCCAGAGATGTTGGGGGGGAAGAAAGCCTGAGGCAGGAGGTCACAGCGGGGACGACCCTGAGGGGGGGGCAGGAGGTGTAGAGGGGAGCTGAGGGGCTCTCGTGGAGGCAGGGAGGGGGGGCTGTCAGGTGGTGATGATGACAGTGACGAGTAACGAGAGGGGTGGAGCTTACAGGTGGGCTGACGAGGTGGAATGGCGGGGGGGCTGTCCAGCTTTGACACCATCTGTGAGGGAGAAAGGGGGAGGGGTCAAACGTCACATTCAAATGAACCTTTATCAAGATTGAATGGAGAAGGCGGCGTCAGAAAACAGCCCCGCCTCCCCTCACCACAGACCTTTGTTTACATTTACACCATAACAGGACGCCAACAGGTTGACACAGCAACAACTACACCCACAACAACAAGGTGGACGCTACACGTCTGGGCTGGAAAAGCCACAGAACCACAGGAAACGCTCCTCCAGGTCTATAAAGTAACAGCTTGATGCTAAAAACAGGTTCTAAGAATTTGGTGGTTGCTGCTCTGTGACACACAAAGAACAGAAGGAACCCTGAAAGGTTCTTGCAGTCCAAAAGCTCCTCGGGCTAAAGCAAAGAGGGTACCTTGGAGGGGGAAGACTCAGCGGGAGCCGACTCCGGTCGTCTGCGGGGAGGAACAGGAGGAGGAACAGGAACATCCTCAGAAGCCCGACTAAAGCTGACCATGGAGGAGACCGAAGAGGACCCTGAAAGTTACCAGACAGACACTGTTAGAACCAGGAGAACGAACAGGAGAACCATACAGCAGCAGATTGGTTTGTTGCTCGTTAACTTCACGCTTTAAGTACTTCAGGGCTCCAGAGTGCGACCAACTTGGTTGCACATGCGACCTAATTTCTCAATGCTGCGACTAAAAAAAAACATTTTAAAGTCTCAGCAACTCTGAAAGTCTCCATGTGGTTAACAACAGACACACATTATCCACATATCGTGGTTTAAACCATTCAGAAATGGTCAGGGGCGGGACCTCTCTGATTGGCCGTAATCCAGATATTCCTGTAGGCCTAGTGTGTATGTTTGAAAGTGTAGGTCAATAGAGAGAGGTGAGTAGGCAACAAAGGCTGTCACTTGGTGTTCGCTCGCTCTGCGGTAGAGTATTACTTCCTGTTCCTGCTCAAACACGGTGGTGTTTCTGAGTAGCTTATCTGCTTAGCAATTTAATTAAAAACTGTTAGATACATTCTTTTTTCAGAGTATAATCTTCACGTGCTTCATCCAAAGCACACTCTCTGTGTACTCACTACCTAACTTATAGCCAAAGTATTCACTCACTGTGTCTGTACTGTTTTGCTAGCTTAGCTTAGCTCGTAGCCGACTTGCTAGCAGCATGGCCTCTTCACCTGTCCCTCCTGCACTTTCCTGCTCATTGTGTCAGATGTTTAGTTACTCGGCCTCCTTTAGCAGTAATGATATCTGTAACAAATGTAG